TCCTTGTCCCATCAGGCTTCACTCTCTCTACCACTGGGTTACCGTTGCATCGGTGAGTGTGGTCGGGGAGCCAAACTAGTTCGAAATGAAGGACTCTTTGCTTTTGCATCGGACTTGCTGGCTCCCTGGTGGGCTCTTTGGAATCTTGAAATCTGAGCATAACAGTTGACATGGCACCCCAAGCAGAAGTAGCTCCACCTTGGTCCTAGAAATTTATTTCAATGGCTTCCAAAGCCAGTTTCACCCTCAGCTTTCATTTGGACTTTTCACTACATTACCTGTATGCCCTTACTGATTTTAGGCATCTTTATATCCATTATAGGTTACACATCCTTTGCCAGGTATGTACTCAGCAAATATCTACTTTAAGTTTGTGGCTTGCCTCTCACTCTCATAATATTATCTTTTGAGGAATTGTTGCTCTTAACTCATTATATATTAATTTTTTTTAGAGGAGGAGGAAGGGAGATCGATTTGTTGATCTACTTATTTATTCATTCATTGGTTACTTCTTTTTAAAAAAAGCTTCTTATTTAATAAAAAAAATGTTTTTTATTTCAGAGAAAGGAAAGGAGAGGGAGAAAGAGATAGAAACATCAATTAGCCTGTCCTGTGTGACTTAGTCGTTGAGCATCAACTCATGAATCAGGAGGTCCTTGGTTCAATTCCTGCTCAAGGCACATGCCCAGGTCTTAGGTTCAATCCCCAGTAGGGGATATGCAGAAGGCAGCCAATAAAAGGTTCTCTCTCATTGATGTTTCTATCTTTCTATCCCACTCCTTCTCCCTTCCTTTTTCTCTAAAATCAATAAAAACATTTTTTTAAAAAAAGAAAGAAACATCGATGAGAGAGAAACTTCAATCAGCTGTCTCCCGCACATACCCTATGGGGGTCAAGCCTGCAAGCCTGGCATGTGCCCAGACCAGGTCTTGAACCAACAAACTCCTAGTGCATGGGACAACACTCAACCAACCGAGCTACACCAGCTGGCTGAGCCACAGTTTACTTTTATTTTTCTCTTTTCTTTATTATTTTTTAATCTTTATTGTTGAAAATATTACATGTCTCCCTTTTTCCCTCATTGACCCCTTCTAGCCTGCCCCTGCCTCCCACCCCCCAACATTGGTTACTTCTTGTATGTGCCCTGACCAAAGATGCATTGGGACAATGCTCTAACCAACTGAGCTACCTGGTCAGGACAGTCTTAATTTAAATATAGGTCAATTTATCACTTTTCCCTATATGGTTAGTACTTTTTAATGAGCTCTTTGCCAACCCCAAGGTCATAAAAAGTATTCTTCTAAGTCTTTTTCTTAAAGCTTTATTAGGAAACAAAAATACTATCTGGAGAAGGTATCTGCATCCCCATGTTCATAGCAGCTTTATATACAATAGCCAAGGTATGGAAACAATTTATGTGTCCATCAATGTGTGAACAGGTAAAGACATTTGTGGCATATATACAGTGGACTATTATTCAGCCATAGAAAATGAGGAAATTCTGCCATTTGGGACAACATGGCTGAATCTTGAGGGCATTATGCTAGTGAAATTAAATCAGAGAGAGAAAGACAAATGCTGTATCATCTCACTTACATGTGAAATCTGAAAAGAAAACCTCATGGAAAAAAGAGATCAGATTTGTGGTTGCCAGAGGCAGAGTGGGGGCAGGAGAATTGGGTGAAGGTAGTCAAAAGACACAAACTTCGAGTTATAAGATAAATACGTACTAAAGATGTAATGTACAAAATGATGACTGCAGTAGCCACTGCTGCATGATATATATGTGCTGGGAGCCGGTCCATCCTTGCTGCTTGACACAGTAGCTGCAGGGAAGGAACATCTGCACAGCATATGTTTCAAGGGACCTGGCGTATATGGCATACTGTTCTTAATATGTTTGCTCCCCTTAGCGCTATGCGTTTTAACCAAGGTCACCTCTCTGAGAAAGGTTGTTTCCCCAGGTGGGGATTTTTCCCTGAAGTTAGGGAGGGAATAAAACCCCTTAACTAAATGCCAGGCGGGTAGTTAATCACTTTAACTACAAACAATCACCCTTAAACTACATAATCTTTACTCCCTGGAATGGAGATAAGAAACGCCCTAACCTTTGGAA